ACACAGGTAGGTTAAAAGAAAAAAATGGAAAAATAGATATCATGCAAACACTAGTCAAAAAATACCTAGAGTATAAAAAGGTGAAAACTGAAATGACAAAAGTGGACAGTATGGTGAACATGGCCAAAACCAGACTTCTGGAGGCCTAGATTTAAGAAGATATTGAAACATGATTGATTCACTCCCATCTTAGGACAGCACTCCCTGAACCTGCTCTGAATACTCCATTCCTGTGTCTCCCACTTAACAGCTAAATCCTTGAGACGGTTATTGAAATTCACTGTCTTTTTTTTCCTTTTTTGGTCAACTCTCACTTATCTCTCCACCTCTTGCTGAAAGAGCCTTTGCTAAGGTTACCAAGGGCCTCCATGCATTAAATCCAAAGGCCATTTTCAATCCTCCTTTCGCTTGATCTTCAGCAGCATATGACACTATTGATAGGCCACCCTTCTTAAAACACTCTATTTTCATGGCATCACACCTTTTTGGTTTTCCTTTGACCTCTTAGCCTGTTCCTTCACAGCCTCCTTTCCAACCTTATCTTCTTCTTCTCAAGCATTGTATGTTGGAGTTTTTCAAGCTTCCTTCCCAGGCCTTTTTCTCTTCTTACTCTATAAGCTGTCCCTGCATAGCCTCATTCTTGTGAACAGCCTCAAGTCCTATCTATATGACAATGACCTAAAATGTATACCTCCAGGTTGGCATCTTGCTTAAATTCCCTATCAAGCAGCCTTTTTCATATTTCCAGTTGGATGTCTCACAGGTACCTCAAACTCAACATACTCAAAGCTAAACTCACAATATTCCTTCCTTTTCCATTGTTTCTCTCTCCAGTAAATGAGATCATTGGTTCCTTTCCAAAAGGAAAAAGTCCAGGAATTATACCCCTTTCTCTTGTTCTTCCCATCACATCACAATTGTTCCTGCACATTACAGCCAAAGTAATCTTTTTTAAAAACCAAATCTGAGCAAGTCATTCCTTCTTTAAAATTTTCCAGGGTCTTTTCCCTTGCTCTTAAAACAAGGACGACAAAGTCTGACTTCTGTTCTTGTCTCTAGACCATCCTTATCTCACTCGGGCCACTCTTGCCTTTGCTCTCTTTATTCCAGCCACACTAGTATGTCTCAATTTCCTCTTTCCCTCACAGAGCCTTTGTAGATGTTCCCGTTTCCCTCCTCCTGACCTGGGACACTCTTCTCCTCCTGCATAATTCCTACCCAGTCTTCAGATACTAACTCAAGCATCACTGACCCTGAAAAGGCTTTGCTGATACCTTAGTCTAGGGTAAGCTCATTTGTTGAAAAAACTCTTACATGCTTCAGTTCTTTTCTTTCAGAGCACTTATCCTGGTTAGTAATTACACATTATTAGTGTGATTAAATGAAAATAATTTCTTCCATTATGAGATTTTAAGTTCACAAGAGCAAGCATTGTCTGTTTTGGTTCACACAATGTCCCTCAGACCAGAATTGTGCCTGCTCTAGGGTAGATGCTGAATAAATATTGAACTAATGGATAAAGAAAAGAATTAAGAAGCAATAATACAAAGAAAGCAGAGCTCAAGTAAGTAGAGGCCAGAGAGCCAAAGAAGGAAAAGTCAGTAACGAGTGAAACAAAGGAGGTGAGCATTTAAAGAAGAAAGTAGTTAAAAGCTTCATACGTTGCAGAAAGATTAAAAGGCAAGAGAAGGAACTAATGGATGGGGAGCAAGCAGAAAATTATTTGTGACCTTTGAGAAAATAGTTTCAGTGGAATGACAGACTCCGAAGCCAGATAGCAGCAAAGCTGTGGGATGAATGAGAGATGAGCAAGTAGACTACTTTTCAAGAATGTGTCAATGAAAGGAGGGGAAACAGGCTGCAGAAAGGGCAGAGAGCTCAGTCACTGGAATATACTGATGGTGATCACAAAGGATGAATTACAAGCTCGAGGCTACCGTAGGAGGCAGAACAAAATGACAGGGTTTGCAGCTGAATGGTAGGTTAGTAAATAATCTTTTCCTGTGGTGCAACCCAATTAATTTCTATCAAGATAATGGTGATAAAAATAATAGCTAACTTTTTTTTTTTTTTTTTTTTGGACTAACTACTTACTAAGTGCAAAGCAAAGCCCAAAGTACTTCAACTTCTTACTAGAGCTCCCAGCGTCTCTGTTAGGGAGAAGGATCATTACCCCATTTTACAGATGAAAACCCTACTTAGCCACACAATTAGCAATTGACAGAACTGAAATTAAATCTAGATGTATTGACTTTTATGGCACACACTATTGATTCCTAATTCCCTTGTCCCTTGACTCATTACATTATAGCTAAGAGTGGCCACATGACCCATTTTCAGCCAATGGGATATAAGTAGAAATATGTTTGGAGCTTCCTTGGAAGGCTTTTCCTTTTTTAAATATATAAATAAATATATTTCTATATATTTAATATCTATTATCTATTAAATTTATATTAAAATTCATAAATATTTAAATAAATCCATATAAAATATATTTAAATTGTTTTTAAAGGAAAAGCCTTCTAAGGCTTTATTATATACATAAAGCAGATATTGCTGGGCCATCCCATCCTTGTGACTTGAATGTGATTATAAATCCTAGAGCTGGCTGCTGTCTTATGATAATGAGGGAGTAGCAAAGAAATTGCAGAGAAACTGAACCACCAATAGCCACAGGACAACAGCCGCCTACACCTAGACTTCTTGCTATGTGAGAGAAAAAAAAAAAAAAGCAAAAACACAGATACTGGATTTTCTGAAATCATGCTGATCAGGTTTTCTGTTATTTGCACTTGATTATATTCCTAATGGATATAATCCCAAAGCCTATGCTCCTATCTACCAAACTATATCACCTCTCATCTATGAAATACAAAGACGGAGGCTCTTCTACCTCCCTCAGAGAGTTCTTAAGGAATTCAAGTCTGAAAATGCATATACAAATGTCTTGAAAAATAAAATTACTATACCAATATATTACTGTTTCAAAAATAGTAATTCTCAGCTAAGGAAAGAGACCAGAGAGTAAACACCCGGTAGAGACACGGGATTGGGCAGTGTTCTCCTAGAAGGACACATCATAACCTCCTGGGAGGTTTTTCACATTACACACATCCCCTTTTGAGAATCACTGCCAGGGTGAACCACCTCTTACAAATAAGATGATGAGCATACCCTTACAGATGTATTCAGGAGGGGAAAGACTGAGGAGTAGAGTTTTATGATGACAGACAGTGAGGCACACTTTCATTAAGACATCATTAGCACAATAATTGATAAAAAAAAATTTGAACCCAAGGGGAAACAATCCCACCTTATCAAGTGTGGCCTTTCTTAAAATACAAGTAATTACTTTTATATGAATAACAGTTACAAACAATAAATAATCATATGATCCAACAAAGCTGACACAACCTAAACCATATAATGAAATACTAATCAACGGGACCAGAGAGTTCACAGGAAGAAATGTGAGTATGTTTCAGAGAAAGGCTAGAATAAATTTAAAATACTTGAATTTTTAAATAGGTTTCCTCTTCATTTTAATTTATCTTGGTGGAGATCAAATTTACTACTCTCTCATTAAGAAATTAACAAAGTCACTTTAAAAAAATTGAACTCAACATCTCAGGTCCCAAATAATTGGCTTGGTCATTTTTTGGATGAAGTGCTAGTATTTTTACTTGTGAAACATTAGTTAAGCACCTACTGTGGGCAAGACTGTCCTTGCCTCTAGAGCACCTTCAGAGCAGAGAAGAAATATCCCAAATTGCTTGTCTCTAGGGAACTTATATTCTATGAGGGTAGGGAACAGACAATAAGCAAATAAATACAATGCAATTTATGTCAATCAAGAATAAGGCTATAGTGAAAGAAAGCAAGGAAGGTGTAAGGTAGATTGGCAATATGGGGTGAGAATGAGAGAGTTTGGGGGTGGGGGATGGTTGGTAGATGCAATTTTAAATACTATGGTCATAAAGGTTTCATTGGGATGCAGACATTTGAGCTGAGATCTGATGGCGCTGAAGAACCAACCCATAGCCATGCAGCTATTTGTTTTAGTGCCAAGTCTTCTGTTGGCTCTATCAGTGGAAAAGGGTTAATAGCCAAATGGCAAAAACATTAAAAAAAAAAAAAAAAAGACTTAAATTTCCAAAATGTGGAATTTGTTGGTCAGGTTACTGGTGAGCTGCTATACTGAGGTTTTTGTTTTTGTTTTTAAATAAAATGCTGTATTTGGTCTAAGAAAAAAAAAAATGATACTGTTTTTCCTTACAAGTCACCCTGAGCCATTATAGTCAAACCAAAAAAAGGAAAAAAGGCATTCCAGTGATTTGTAACCTTCTGAATCTCACTGTTGATATATTTGCCTTTGGAGAAAAAAGTTTTCAATGTTTATTTTATTCCCTTATTTATTTTTTGATATTCCCCAAACACATATTTCAAACGGAGAAAATTTTGTTCAGTCTTAAATGAGCCCAAATTTCATCATGGGCTAAAATTTTAAGACATAAAATGACTGCTGAAACTGAATTTTAATCATACAGATGAATCACAACATGCATCTTTAGCTAGGCATGTATTATGGATAAGTCTAGTTTTCTACAGAGAATAATCACATGTTCTAATTACCATTTTGGTTATACGCATAATTAATAATATTCTGTCTTAATGGGACACACTGAATCTTCAGACAGTTGCAAGCTTTAACTATGCATACTGCCAAATCCAACTGTCAGCTGCGCTGCCAAACACAAAGGAATCTTGATGTAGTGTTTTAGCATTGATAACAGTATGCATATCTTTAGACATGATACAATGGAAAAATTAATTGCCTTTCTTTCTTCAAAATTTTCTCCACACTAACAATTTTACATTGCTTAATTGATCATTTACCCTAAATTATATATATTGGCGAGTGATCTTATGAGCAATAAAAACATGAATGTAAACGTGACCCCAGACACAAAGAAGAAAAACAATGTTGCAGGACTTACTGATTGTAAACTTTCATTTTCACGTAAACAAGCCGTGTGAAGTTCTGATTTCAACGTTGCAATGTGACTTCGGTGAGATGTCATTTCCTTCTCTAATGCAGCAATTCTAGCACTTGCAAGCTGGTAGACATCCATGAAACTTTTAATCATAGCCTTAAGAAATAAATATAATGTCACATACAATTCAAATAAAGATGTCCCTAAAGAAGAATTTCCATAATTTGAAAGCAAAATCATTAAAATTTTAAAATAAACAACTTTTCATCTTTCTTTAAAATAATAAAGCTAACCCTCACATTTTATATTGAGAACAGGGACTATTTTAAGAAAGTTTGGGAGAAAATAATTGAGACTTCTTTTCCAGAGTATATATTTAAATGAGATGTACTTTGATCTATTGTGTTTAAAATTTAGAATGCAATTTTTAAAAGATGGCACACTATTTCCTTTGTGAAGTTAAATTCAAGTTGTAATTTGACCTAAATTTCAATCTTAAGACACACAACAGATGGATATATAAGAAAGATATTTCAAAATGAGCTGAGTCAGTAAAACTTACAATCCACCTAAAAAAACAAATGGTTTGAAACAAAAGGAGCTGAAATAATCCTGTAATTTGTTTAAGAGTAAATAATGTGACTCTTATATTGTACAAAAAATTGTATTCATTCATATAACAGAGGAATGTTCTTGTATTATACTATGTATAATAAAATACAAGTGTGTGTAAGTTTTTCTCCCCCCAAATAAGTTATATTTGGGGGATTGTTAGACCTCTGTATTACATTTTAATCATATTTTATACACTTTTTCTTCTAAAGCAACCAGTAGTGAATTTTAAGTCCAAGAACACTATCACACCTTTTTAAAAAAAGTCTTTCAAAATATTTCAAATATAGCAAAAACCAAATATTTCAAAGATATATTCAAATATAATGTTGTATTATTTACAAGAAAAAAAAAGTTCTAACCAGAGCAACAAATGAGTAAAATGGTAGACAGTCTGAGAATTTCCAAATTCTATTCAATCTGAAGGGTCTGATTTGGAAAAGTTTTGAGAAACTAGATATTTGAGAAATTCTGAATGCACATGAAGTAATGTGGTGACCAAAGAGTACGAAACAATGCACACAATGTCTGAGAAACAGAAGTAGGTTAACTATTTGTAGGTAAAAGTAAGAAAATTCACACCATTTCGCCTAATAAACTCCTATTTGCCCTAAAATATTAAGTTCGGACACCATCCCTTTCAAGAAACCTCTTTTGAACCCAAAGGCTCTGTTAACATTTACTCTAGCTCTCTTTGGGGGCCCCTCATGCTTGCTTCTACTATAACGCTTACTGCTTTAGCAGAAAGGTATCGGTTTACATGTTTATCTTTACTAGACTGAGGAGCTCCTTAGGCCAGATACTGTGCCTAATCATCTCTGTATCATCAGGGATGTTAGTGGCCCACAGTGAACACTTGTTTGAATGAATGAATGAATGAATGAATGAATGAATGAGTGAATGACTGGAAAAGATTTTTAAAAACCCACAATTTGAAGCCTTATGTTGGCATAAAATACCTTATGGGAAAGGATGAAGATATTCGGGGAAATATAAACTTAACACTCTGACGTATAAATTATTAACTATACTTTGTTCAAATCAAAAAAAGAAGTGAAAGCATAGCTGTCAGCACAAAAGGACAGAACATACAGAAGAGAATTCTATTTCCCAACACTGAATGAGCATCGTATGACATCATGTTTGGGAACGTCTCTACCTTACTTGGAGTCATTTCAAGGTGAGCTTATAGCTAATACTAACACAAAATATTTCCCCAGGTTTCAAGTGTATGTAAAAGTCAGAAACTATAAAATCATATCTGCTTCTTCCTATGCCAAGTCTCTCTCCACTCTTATAATTCATTCATCTTCACCAGGTGGTGAACCAGGAATCACAAGTCCTATTTTGGTCCGGTCCTCACTCTGCCACTTACTTAGGCTTTGTGCTCTTGGGCGATGCCACGTCATCTCTCTGAGCTTCCATTCTCTCCCTCCATGAAATGGGAAGAAGGGTCATTTTCTTGCCTACTTCCAAAACTGTGATAAGGCTCAGGTAATTAAAAATCTAAGGCAAGGCCATTCTCTTCATCCTTCAACTACCATTGCAAGAAAGCCCTCCAAAAATGGTCAACTACTGAATTTCATGGTAGTATTACTTTAGTTCTATTTTTAAGTTCTCCACTAAGATCTTAACGAGACAATTTGTGATAGGTGGTTTGTATACATATTGTCTTGTGGGATAAGGACCTAAAATGTAGAAAAGGTGCAAAAACATGTATAAGTGTTATTGAATAAAAAAAGGAAGTATTCTTCTATCAGTAATAGGCTCCTGAATTATGATTTCACTGTTAAGGCATAATAGAATTGGCCTCTAATATTTAAAGATAAAAACTTCAACACTTCAAAAGTTATCCTATTTCCTAAATTTAGAGAAACATGTTTCATGAATTCTCATGGACATGATACTCTTAAAGGAATAAATAATAAAAATGATATTCCTTCAAACCTCTTTTTAAAAAAATAAAATACTTTTTTGAGAAGTTACATCTAAATTTTTATATGGTGGATGGAACAAAAGTCATAATTATTTTGGCTCCTTTCTTGATCTACTTTTAATAACTAAATCCTAGGGGCGCCTGGGTGGCTCAGTCGTTAAGCGTCTGCCTTCGGCTCAGGTCGTGATCTCAGGGTCCTGGGATCGAGCCCTGCATCGGGCTCCCTGCTCGGCGGGAAGCCTGCTTCTCCCTCTCCCACTCCCCCTGCTTGTGTTCCCTCTCTTGCTGTGTCTCTCTCTGTCAAATAAATTAATAAAATATTTTTAGGGGCGCCTGGGTGGCTTAGTCGTTAAGCGTCTGCCTTCAGCTCAGGTCATGATCCCAGGGTCCTGGGATTGAGCCCCGCATCGGGCTCCCTGCTCTGCGGGAAGCCTGCTTCTCCGTCTCCCTCTCCCCCTGCTTGTGTTCCCTCTCTCGCTGTCTCTCTCTCTGTCAAATAAATAAATAAAATCTTAAAAAAAAACAAAACTAAATCCTAATATCCAGTGCAGTATCAAGAGAAACCACATATTACTTCTTTATAACACTAAAAAGAATATAATAATAATCTGTTTTTTGCATAGGATTTAGAACGTTAAACATTTAAAATCTTTCAAAGCATTATTTCATCTGAGAGATGAAAGCAGTTTTTTACAACATGTATATATCTTTTCAGAGCAACAACGAGTAGTGGTAAATACAGCAGGTGTGTTTCACGGTGTAAATACTACACTATAGTATGGGGGGGGGGTAGGAGTGTCAGTGAAATCGCAGTCATTCAAAGAAGCACCAAACCTTTTGGGGAATAAAGAATGTTAACTTCCAATATTAAAAAGTGATGCAAACTACGTAACAAAGGATTCCAGTGAAAAACCCGACTCTTCAATACAAAAGAAAGGTGTCAAGTTGGTTGAAGTGGAAGTGATAGTCTGAACCAACTGAGAGAGGGGGTGGAGGAGGAAGGAGTGAGCCTCTAACGACTTCTGTATCAGTCTCCCAAAGTCTAACTCTTCACAACACACCTCTCTCCAGTATGAAAACATCACATCTTTTTATATTAGCAAACAACGACAGAACAGCATGATACTGTGTTCAGCGTGCCCAGCACTGGAGAATTTATCCCGTGTCATCTTTGGCCACAGGGATTTCGACGGTACCATGCCGTGAGAGATGTGTCTCAGTGGGGCTTATCTAGTTACAGGAGAAACAGAACAAAAGACGGTTTCTGGACAAGAATAGTCTTTTGTTACAGAGATAATCTATAGTACTTACCAGCAACATAACAAGATGAGAGAATCCAAACAAAATTCCACATCCTATATCCATTTTAAGGAAAAGTGTGTTTCAGAATTCACAAAATTCTGAGATACAAGTAGGTGACTGTCACTTGAGCATTAGAATATTATTTATATAATTTGTTATGTACATCTTATTATGTAATTTAGGCTGACTTCAAAACTGGATTTCAGAAGAAATGGGATCCTTGGGAACTTGATGTCAGAAGGGGAGATTAGTGGAAAATGTCGTGAGGCCTAGATGCCAAAAGAGTAAACCTTTTACTTACATTTTTGAGGAACTGGGAAGCAAAAACCTCAGATATTTCCCTTTAAATATAACTATAGATATACTTCATTTCTATCTACTATATAAAGTAAACATACCATGTAAAATGGATATACCAAATATGTGAAATATAATAAATCCCCATAAAATGGGGATAATTCCTATCTTATAAAGATTTTGTGAGGATGAAATGACTATTAAAACCTGAGAAGACCTTACCTACCTGAAACATAGTAAACCCTCAGGTCAATGTTGGCTGTAGTAATGATGATGCCATCCAATTAGGAAAATTATTATTTTAACTCATAAAACAAAGATTTAATATTTCTTTTTTTTGGATTTATTTATTTATTTTTGGGGGGACAGAGGGAAAGAGACAGAAGCAGACTCCCCACTGAGCACAGAGCCTGTGGGGCTCGATCCCACAACCCCAAGATCATGACCTGAGCCAAAACCAAGAGTCGGACACTCAACCTACCGTGCCACCCAGACGCCCCAAAGATTCAATATTTCCGAGGGGTATTATTAGACATAATGTAAACATTTTAAATATTAGATATTCTATACATATTGAAATAGTAAAGCCCTTTTGAACATAAAGAATTTTAGAGGCCAATGGATATTTACTTCCTAACAAGAGAACTGCCCACTGATAATGAAACAGTTCCTATTTATCATGTCCTTTTTTTTTAAGTTTTTACTTAAATTCTAGTTAGTTAACATAGTGTTGTATTAGTTTCAGGTGTACAGTATAGAGATTCAATGCTTCCATACATCACAAGTGCCCTCCTCAATCCTCGTCACGGATTTCACCCATTCCCCCCACCCAGCTCTCCTCTGGTAACCATCAGCTTGTTCTCTAGAGTTAAGAGTCTGTCTCTTGGTTTACCTCCCTCTCTCTTTTTTGTTTCCTTTGCTCATTTGTCTTGTTTATGAAGTTCCACATCTGAGTGAAATAACATGTCATTCTTAAGGAAGAAAATTTTACAGTGATAACACGCTCATA